TTTTGCTGACGGCGGATGCGGTGGTATCATAATAGGAACGGACTGTTGCGTTTGTAATCGGAGTGTTTGCATCTCTCCTGTAAGTCCTCTGCCTTTGGATTATGCCAGGGATGCTCTTTCTTTTACGGGAGAAGGTACTGCAGAACCTGTGCCTTAGCGAACCTTGATCACTTCCCCGATGAAATTCACCAGGTTAAAGTGTCTTCACTATATTTTCTCTTAGGAACTTCTAAAAAACCTAAAGACGTGACGCACTCTGTCATACATCGTTGTCTACGTTCGGACTGGTGTAGTCGAGGCAGCAGGACGCTTGCGTGCCTCGCCGAAGTCTCCAACTAGGATGTTCTCTGAGTTCTATAATGTTCGACCTCTATTTCTTGATGGAGTAATTTCAACCAGTGTCAATATAGTTGTGCATCGCTCTGCGTCCTTTTTACAAATAAAGAACTGGTCGCTGCTCTGACACCAACCAATGTAATGGTCTAAAAAAGAGCCTTTAGGTGAAATCTCGTCAACGAAATTCGCGCACAGAACACTTAACCTAATGCTCTAAATTTGTTAGGGCAAGTTTTTTGGCTTCCAATGGGTTACCCTGTGCGTAGTGCGACGGAAATCATGCATGGACTGGAAGTCCGTACATAGAATGCGAAACTTTAACGATAAGTTGGACGGTGAAAGTTCAAGCAGATATGTATGTATATGAAAACTTGTTATGAGACCTCATTGTAAACTCGTACACCAAGTCCCTCTGGATCTTAAAACGAAGCGGTCATGTCCGCCCGACATTTCAATGGACGGACAAAAAATTTATAACGCTTAATCCGCTCTAACTCTACTGTGAACCATCAGCTTCTCGCAGGTAGTGTCAAACGTCCTCTAGAAGTGTCTTGTGGTTCAATCCGCACACTTTTGGACCACTTGGTGGCCGGGGGACCATCCAAAATATTCGGTAACCGGAAGCCTGCTTTGGATTTAGGTAGTGGGCTTCGACCCTGCGATCATCGGGCTTCTCGCTTAGCATTCCGTTATAGTAAGATGTGTGATACAGTCTGCCATTGAGGGATTAATAGTGACGGAAATTGGTGGAGATCGTAGTCTGAAGGCCCACGGCTGGTCGCGCAAGATAATCATCACGGTTGCGCATTACGTTGGCGAGGCTCCTACGCAATATTTAGCACGAACCCCCCCCCCCTTGGCATGTCGCCGGCCCTCATGAACGCTGGCTGATCTAGGACACGAGAATATCATCAGTCCGTGGGGTGTAAAAGCTCTGGACTCGATCAAAGCTGTGTTATGACGTTTACGCAGTACATCGTCCAACCATCGGCTTACTGACAGGATTAGCGTTAGTATACATACATAAGCAAACTACATTCCTACGAATGTAGCTTTGTCAGACACGTTCCCACTTTCCACTACCGGTTGCCTGTGTACCTAATACCTTTTTGCGCTACGTAAATTCGGGCATGTTCCTTTGTGAAGCTAACGCGGGCCATCCGGCGTCACACAGCCTGTCCACGCTGAATAGACCGCATTTAGTAATGGAAGCGTTGGTAGTAAGGTGGGAAGAACAACTCGTTGGAATTCTCATGCACCAGCCTTCAGAAAATTATTTTATCGCATTGGCGATTTTTATGATGACTTAAGGCAATTTGGGGATTTGTCTTGGTTTAGGCTATGTATGGTTTGGGGAGCGTAAGAGGAAATCTCTGCCTAGACCGGTCTAAATATTAACCGACATCTCCGGCCAGTGTACATCATCACTGGTTTGCTGGCTCCGCGTGGTAAGCGCAGTGAAGTCATGAAACAATTGCAGTCTCCAGGGTTTTCCGTCAAAAATTTGAAGGCTTCGAAATTCGGTCAATAGTTTCCTGTTGTCGCCGACCGTCAGTGTTAAATCCTAAAATAACCCTAGTACTGTGGCCGGACATTTTCGTGGGGCTTTATGGAGATTTTGAGTACATGCAGGTCCCCAGCGGCCGCTCGAATGTTTTTTTGGAGGTCTTGCTTAGCGTTTTGCACCATGGACCTAACCATCAAGCAACGGTAGCGAGCAAGCTTGTTTGGTGGGGGCTCACGGTCACCATGTTACAGTGCTACAATAAGGCTTTGCAACATTTTACAAGACGAAGGGTACGTCAGATCTCGGTCCTCCGCATTCTTGTAGTATTGTTGCTGCTGGTTCACGGCTGCTTATTCATCAGGCCCGGGAGCCTGCCTATTTTGCAGCAACTTCCAAAGGCCGTTTCGCTATCCGCCGTCTATGAACGCGCCAGGTTGCCAGCAGCTAGGCTGTCTAGATCTGTCGTCGCGCTTGGAGGTATGGTGCACGGCATTATGGAGGCTATGTAGACCTGGCACAATCACAGTCGTCTCCTATAAGGCCGCGATCGGGTTCACGACACATTCAGGATTGAATCACCCTGTAGTTACGATTCCGTCCTTGGGTATTTCATCCGAGGCTCGGACGCCCGACTCGCGACTTTGTGCCCAACGGTCGCCTCGCGGGTTTTTGTTAGACTCGCCTTGAGGCTTAGGCGCCCTCCGGGCAAATTGTGATGTTCCACGATCATCCTGAGAACCCAATGCGAGGACTGTATCTCACGCGGTTGAACCAAGTGGACAATGGCCTTATTTGCTGACACGAAAAATCCCCGGTGATCCGACTTGCCGTCTGCATTTATTAATAACTCGGGGAAACAAAATGCGCCGGTGGGTTACCGACCCGAAAGACAGTAATTGGGGTTGTATGCGCTCCACATACGATCCTGCCTGTTTATACGTCATGTTCGGTCGTGTCGCACCCGACTTCACCAGCGGGGTTCCCGGTGTAAGCCTGAAGTATCTTACTCGAGAATACGTTCTGAGCTCTGACCGCTTATTGCACCATTTGGGGGATAGGAGCCTCCCGTGCACCAAATATATCAGTCACACCTAGGTAATTTGGTCTCCAACAAAATATTGCTTTAGAACATCCTCTACATCCTTGTTTTACTACAGGATGGTTGGGCAAGTGACCGGATTAGAGGGAGTATCACGCCTCGAGGTGTTTGGTGACGAATGAATACTTGGTGTAAACACCACTCAGTTGAACTATGTCGTCGTTTGCACACTCGAATGCTTCGTACCAGATACTACATCGTGAAGTTGTGACAGGCCCGCAAAGCTAAGGCCTCGACATGTTATTTTGGGTCTGACAATGTAGCCCGAACCGATGAGGCGGGTGCAGACCGTCCCCACTAAACTCCACGGCTCATGATGTATTATTAATTTGGTCAACCGGGACCGTCACACTTGAGGAACCTACAGTCGTCCGTACATGTTATTCGTGCTAGCCAATGTGATACTGACTATGCTCGCCAACTTCCAAAACTGTTTGTACCGTCGACGAAGGGTCGAGATATTGAGCCGACGAACCTCAAGCTCAGCGGCGAACCAGTCTCTGCTTTTTGCCCTTATAAGCCGGCGCAGGCGTGGTCAGTTCGGCATACGGCGCGACACAAGTTGTCCCTCTAATGTTCAGTCTGGGAATGTAGCACGCCAGACTCCTCGATCAACCTAACATGATTTGTCCGGCCTTACTGTTAAGCGGGCGTTGGAGTCGCGCCGCTTTCTGGGGACCTAGACAGTTGGAAATTGTTACGGGTAGAAACGGACCGTGGCAGTCTGACACCCGGAAGCTGCTTTGTTCAAACACCGATGTCTTCTGGTAAGTCAACGACGACAATTTCGACCCATCTAAGTTTTTCGTTTTATCAACGTCAGGTTTGGCTTACAAATGACTGGCGGACTACAGTGACCGCTGTCCACGAAAGTACTTTTAATCCTTGTTTGGGATTCTGAATTCCATGTTTTTCAAAAGCGCGTAAACTCAATAATCAGAAAGAACTTTCGTCCGAAGTAGTCCTCTAGAAATGGAACTGTGCGGTTTGTCCGGACGTTTGAGACTAAGAAGTCTATTGGAAATATTCTCAGTTCCTTAAATTGGGAAATGATAAACACAAAAGGCTTGTCGATTATTCCGTAACACCATTCAAGAAAGACCAAATGCTAGGATCCAGATCCAGAGTCTCATCATCATTCACTCTGTCAGAGGGAGTCGTCAACGGTAAGCATGACTGCTGCTCGGCAGAAATGTCGGGAGATAAACGGCCCTTTAAATCATTTGGTACCATAGGTTTCGTCTCGGATAGTTTTAAATCCGCTTGCAAATCGGTTAGGAAAGACGCTAATTCCGACCCCAAGTCGGCAAAGGATGGAGAAGTCGGCGATGACGGCTTGTTGACGGAAGAGGATCCGGGAACGACAAGCTGTTGAGCCGCGGAACGGAGAGTCTCATCAGCTCGTGCAAAATATTCCTCCCCCCTGCGAACGGTCTCGCGAGCAATATCAACCTGAAAAAGGGTACGGAGGTTTGCAGATCTGAAGTGCTGAGCATCTGAATGAATTACATTGGCTAGGCAACAATGTCAAAATACAATTTTCTAAAAAAAAGCTGAAGGCGGCGCAACAGACCTGATAACGTAGCATCTCCCGCACCAGATCGCGAGCTTGGTGGGGGCGGTATTCGTTTAAGATGTGGTGCATGTTGACGAACAATATACCGAGATGTTCAAGCTTCTCTGTCCTTCTAGGCGAGCTGGGGTCCCGAGTGATAACATCAAGGAGGTCCAGGTAGTTTGCCAAGATGGAAAAGTTAAGTTTTTTCAACTCCAACTTGCGGTTGTAGGTCTAGTATGCCAATAAGAGAATTAGAAAAGCGCTGTGACAAAAAATGTAAAGGCGTGTCCCGCCTTCTAGAGCGTAATGATTATTTACATACTGCCGATCGATGTGATTCTTTACAAGTCCATGCGGCCTGCCAACCGCAATACGAAAAATTGGTTTAAGACAACAGCAGAGAAAATTAAACAAAGCGAAAGCATCAGCAAACATTGTTCCCAAAAACTCAATCGGATTAGGTGGCCCTTTGTTGAACGAGACGGGCCTCCGAGTACTTGCTACAGCTCCAAGATAAAAAAACTACCCAAAAAACAGTTAAATACACGGCCTAGGTAAAGTTTTCGAGAAGCCTGTGCAGAACACCTCTTGCTTTTTTCTGGAGCTTAAAGATGCACAGTCACATACTGAAATCTGCGTACACAGCTGCAAACGGGAGAATTTCAAGAGCGCTGTTATTTGTACCTCTGACTTGTTTGGTAGACGTGTTTCGAGACCCACGACTGCTGACCGAATTTGAGAGACGGATAGTTTTCGCGGACTGGGACGACGCTGTCCGAGGGTGAGTCGTCAAGAAGGGAGGAACCACTACAGAAACTACCAGGACATCAACTTCTTTGACGTTGCTGTAGGTATTTGCAGCTATCCTCCATAATCGTCTTCGATTGTGTCACGACGCGTGGATAAGAAATGGGTGCGAGTTTCGACTGGCGCGTGGATGCGTCGATCGGCACTCCTCCATTCGTAGAATACGTTATCACCACTACTACTGTAGACAGCCTATCCTCATCTGCTTCTTAGATTCTGCCTCAACGTTCGACTTTATCTGGATTTCTTGTCACCTATCATTGAGTGCTGAGGCCGACGAACTTACATCGCCCAACCTAAGCCTACCACCGCTGAATATGTACCACAGCCCATGTGAGGAATCGGCTCTTCTACGTGACCCTAGGTGTCCGCAAGGGCTGTGTTCTCTCACTAAATCTATTTGGCTACGTTATGGGATGGCTTCTTTGACATGAACTGGCAAAGCACTCCAGTATTACAGCAGCCCGTGGTCTGTGCACCACTCAGGTGACCCTGTAGTGCTGGCGAGTTCGCTTACAGGAATGTGGTGCATCGCGTTCCAAGCAGGCGAAATGGCAGTAGAAGTCGGCTGGTAGCTTCATTTCCTAAAGCAAAGATGACTGCCTCAGGCTTCGCTGTCCAAGTTACTCGATGGATAACGATAGATAGCAAAGGCCCGGGTCAATGGATCCAAATTTCCGCCGAAGCCTTGGGTTCGGGACGAAATCGACTATCGGATCAACTGGGCACGCGTGGCGCCCAACATCGTTAAAACAGAATAAACAATCTCCCAATAATTTACATAGGCGAAGTGAGGCAAGAAGACGATTTCAGAGGACAAAGACTTGGAAAACTTGTTTTTTTTGTCGATGT